TTTCTGTTTGGGGTTGGTTTTTGTCGTTTCCTTTGTTTGTTTTCCCTCAACAGCTTTATTTTCTCGGTTTTAAGAAGGTCCTGTGTTCTCTCCCTTCAAGGCACATTCAGCCCCAGGACAAAAGCATGAAGAATACGTGCCCTACCTATTCCCCAAGTAAAGCTGCTACTGTGAAAACAAAGTCTATGTTACCTGCGAAAGATGACCTGGAGCCTGAACTGGCACCAGCAGCCTACAACAGAGCTCTGGTCTGCCAGGAGGAAGAGTGCTTAAATATTGATGCTCAAGAAGACGAGCAGCCAGTGAAGGAGCCTGAACCTGCGAGCAAAAAGGAGCAGCTGTCGGTAAAAAAGCTGCGAGTCGTACTGTTTGCTTTGTGCTGCAACACTGAACAGGCTGCAGAGCACTTCCGAAATCCTCAGAGGCGGATCAAGCGCTGGCTACGAAGGTTTCAAGCTTTCCAAGAAGAGAACTTGGCGTCCCTGTCAGAGGGCAAGTACCTCAGCTTAGAGGCTGAAGAGAAACTAGCAGAATGGGTCCTCACGCAGAGGGAGCAGCAGCTGCCCGTGAACGAGGAGACTCTCTTCCAGAAAGCCACCAAGATTGGCCGATCCCTCGAAGGTGGCTTCAAGATCTCCTACGAGTGGGCGGTGCGGTTCATGCTGCGGCACAACCTCAGCACGCATACTCGAAGGGCGGTGGCTCACCCCCTCCCCAAAGACGTAGAGGATAACGCCAGCTGCTTCATCGAGTTTGTGCAGCGGCAAATCCACACTCAAGACCTGCCTCTCTCCATGATCGCGGCCATCGACGAAATCTCTCTCTTCCTCGACGTGGAGGTGCTGAGCAGCGATGACAGGAAGGAGAACGCTTTGCAGACAGTGGGAACCGGGGAGCCCTGGTGCGACGTTGTCCTCACGATCCTCGCCGACGGCAGCGTTCTCCCAACGCTGGTCTTCTACAGGGGTCACGTACAGCAGCCCGCCAACGTGCCGGAATCGATCATGTTGGAAGCAAAGGAGAACGGATACAGCGACGACGAAGTCATGGAGTTGTGGTCGTCCAGAGTGTGGCAGAAGCACACGGAGTGTCAGAACAGCAAGGGCATGCTCGTGCTGGATTGTCACCGAACACACCTATCGGAAGAAGTACTTTCCTTGCTGAGTGCGTCCAGCACTCTGCCGGCCGTTGTCCCTGCTGGCTGCAGCTCCAAAATCCAACCTCTAGATGTTTGTATAAAAAGGACTGTGAAAAATTTCTTGCATAAAAAATGGAAAGAGCAAGCCAAGGAGATGGCGGACTCCACGTGCGACTCGGACATTCTCCTCCAGCTGGTTTTATGCTGGCTGGCGGAGGTCCTGGAGGTCATTAGTGACTCTCCTGAACTTGTGCAGCAGTCCTTCCTGGTGGCCAGCGTGCTGCCCGGTCCGGACGGCACGGCCAACTCGCCCACGCGCAACGCCGACATGCAGGAGGAGCTGATAGCCTCCCTGGAGGAGCAGCTGAAGCTGAGCGATGAGCAGCAGGAGGCGGCGGCGGCCGAGGCCCAGGATCGGACCCAGGCCGAGGAACCTGCAGACCCAGAAATCCTCCATCAGCTCTTCGAAGGGGAAAGTGAGACTGAATCGTTTTACGGCTTTGAAGATGCTGATTTGGATCTGATGGAAATCTGAGCACTGATCTGCGAATCGCGATCCGGAAAGGGTTATTTTTTAAATAAATGTTGGATGAGACCATTACACTTCCCTGTGGATTTGTGGGTTTAGGAAATTCGTAGGCGATCACTCAGATAAATAGCCATTTATGCTGTTCATTTATAAGTTTTGTGCTTTTTTAAAAGAAAAATCACTGTGTTGGTATTTTCTGAAAATATATTGTGGGTGAATATTTTTGCGTTTTCTTTACCTCACTGTATCATAGTTTTCTGTTTTTATTGTGCAGAAATGTTTTGAATTATACATTGTCAATGTGACCATTTCTAAAGAAAGGAAAAAAATATGTAGCTAATGAACCAGTATATAAATCCTTTTGGTTGTCTTAACACAGATTCCCCCCCCCCTTTTTTTTTCACCCCAGTTTTTTAACACTTGACCCAGAGATTTAGGTTTCTGTGGAAAATTTAGATATGAGTTACTGCTTTAATGTGTGAACCTTCTATAATTGGCCATTAAGATTTGGGTTTGGTTTGGTTTTTTGTTTTGTTCTTTTTTAAAGAAGAGTCATTATTTTGCTTGTGGATTTGGACACGGAGTAGAAACACGAGCGAAAGCATTTTGCCTGTTCAGTGCCAGCAGCGCTTCTGGGGAGCCACGCCGCTGAGCTGGGGCTGACGCGAGACCGCAGTCAGGGAGCTGGGGCGGTGCCGACCCAGGCCTCGGTTTCCCGTTGACTTCCCGGCGCGGTGCGGTGGTTCCTCTCCTCCAGCCGGGAAACCACCCGGCACCCACCTTGCTCCAAAGAGTTACTGACAGAGGGTACCTGGCGGAAGAGGAAAGTCAAGTCTGTCTTGATCTTCCTGTGCAGTAGGTGGGAGTTAAGACTGTACGGACCATTACACGTTGACCTTTTAACTACTAGTAGTTGATAAACCTGCTTTAACCAGTGGCATCAGACACTACGTTCCTTAGAATTAGAAATCTGATTTAATGAAACAAACTGTGACGTGCACAAAAAGAAGACGTTTGTTTTTATTTTTCACTGCCAGCTTAAATTTTTCTACAATTTGCATGTTTGAGGGTTTTTTAATTGTATGTATTATGGTATAAACGGAAAGCATTTTGACATACAGAATTCAGAAGCACCTGCACCTTTCTGTTTCCATAGAGGTTTTGTGAACCTTCCCTATTACCGAAGGAAAGCAGGAGGCAGCATGTGCAGACCTGTAAATGGTTCATCTTTAAAATGTACATAAGTGGAACATTTAATAAAACCAGGGAAATGGATTTATAAACATGTGTTTTTATTATGAAGAACTATTTAAGTCTTGTGATATCGTAACGCCTGATGGGAAGCGCAGCACGAACTCCTCGCCCCGCGCAGGAGCGGCCCGGGCTCCCTCCGGGTACCGGGGCGCCCGCGCGGGGCAGGGCTCTGCCCCCTCCGCCTTGCGGCAGCCCCCCCTGCCCCCGAGGATGCAGGAGACTCGGGGGAGCGGCCTACTCGCCCCGCGACGTTTTCTTTTTATAAATAAAGTCTGAAAAATCATTAATAAAATACACTCCTGAATAAGCATTTTTGCTGTTGTTTATCTCGGGTAGTAGTAAATACCACTCAATATTCTATTTATTTCCTATGAGGCGAAGAGCGGCCCCCGCGCGCCTCCTGTTACCGCCTGCGGCAGCCGGGGTCATGCCGAGGCGCAGCGTCTCCGGCCGCGCGCGGGGAGCCGTGGGCTGATCGGAGCCCTCCTACCCCAGCGTCTCTGCCGTCGGTCGGGGTTTAAGTGGGGAGATCGTCGTTACTCTGGTCTTGGTGACGAGAGACAACGAAAGAAGCCGAAATCCCATTTTTCCCCTCTGTGCTTTTCGCTGGAGCACGTAACGGGCGCCGAGAGCGGAGGATAACCAAACCCCGAGAACGCGCTGCCGGAGCGCCCCGGCGCGCGGCACCCGAGGGGATCCCGGAGCCGGAGGAGCCCCCGCGGCCGCCGAACGCTTGTGGCCTGCGAGGAGAGCGGCGCAGGAACCAGCGGCTGGATCGATCCGAAATTCCAGCCTGGAAGCGCTGCCCTGCGCCGGCGCTCGCCTGCGGCGCGGTCCGAGGGGCCAAGGGAGTGCCGCGCTGCTCCCCCTCCGCCTGCCCGCGACCCAGCGCTCGGCCGAAGCAGGGCCCTGCCGAGTCTTCCCTTACGCAGTGCGCTGTTCACGAAGGCTTCTTTTTTTTTAAACAGAAAACATCTTAAAGATGCGTTTTCCTTCTGTCCGCAGGTGGCTCTGAGGGGTGAACGGAGGCTTTTTACCCATCGGGATCAGAATTCTCAGTTGCCTGGATTACACGCGCTCGCGGGAGGAACGCGGTAGGTGCCGCACGCACGTCTGGGGTGCCGAAACGCCCCCCGGGATCCCGTCGCGCTCCCGTCACCGTTCAGCAGATTTTTCTTTCGTCAGGGCAAACCTTAAAGCGACTGCGTATTGACCTCAAGACTTAGCAACGGGCACCGGCCAGGACCAGCGCTGATCCTGGAGTCCCAGGGTGAAGTCCCGCAGCCACGCTCCAGCCCCCGCTGCCCCAGGGGCTGCCGCGAGCAGGACGGGGTATTTACACGTTTAATGTAACCAGAACCCCAGGCAAGAACACAAAAAAAGCAATTTTTTGGTTTTTTTGCTGCCCTTCTCCAGCGAAAATAAGGACTCGCAGGTGTTAAAACCTTCACGCCCTGAAAGCGGGAGGCTTCCTGAGCGGGCAGGCCTGGAGCACCCCCCAGACTCGGTCCCAGCCCCAGCACAACCACACAGGCTCCTCTGAACAGGTTTATTTCATTTCCAAAACAAATCAGGTCGGAGCTTCAAAAGGAGTAGCGGATTTACAGCACGTGCAAGGGCGGTAACCTGGACACGACAGCCTGGAGCAGCTCTTCGGCGATCATTCAAAGCCACTGCAAGAAGATATTTTGACAAGGTCAGGATACCACGCAGCCCGGACGCGGCCAACATCTGCACTAACACCATCGGCGTTTTCGCTTCTATCAGGCGCTGCCCGTCAGGGACGCCTGCTCTGGGGAAGCACGGCGTCAGCAAAGCAGACGGCGCATCGACAAAACGCTCTCCCGTTCCCGAAGGGACGCGCGCCGACGCCTCCAGGCCTCGGCTCTAACGGGGGGAGCGGCCAGGCAGAGCGCGGGGCCGGTGCTTCCTCCTGCTGCCCACGATCCCCCAGATCCGAACACGTGGCAGGGCCCTTATCCCACAGGGGCTGCGCGTCCCCCTGCCCGCATCAGCCCTTTATTTGTGCCTCCGGGCTCTGCCGGGCCGCCGACTCGCGGGCTGAGCTCAACACGTGCGTTACCTGACCAGGTGCGCGATCTCCCAGTTGGCTTCCAGGGTCAGGGGTCCTTCCACCTCCACGCCTTTCTCCGTTGCGATAGCTACTTCATACTGAGGAGAGAAAACGTTGGCATTCTCGATAACGCCCGGCTTCCAGACCTGAATCTAAGATGGGCCCTGCGAAAGCTCTCATCAGCGAGAGCCAGGAGGAAGAGCTGTCCTTTAAACACGTTTGTTTTAACGTCGCTTTGCTTTCAGTAACGTTTTTACTTTTTCCTCGGTGGGCAAGTTGAGACAGCAGTGGTAAAAAGAAACGCTTCCAGAGCTAAAAGGTTGCAGCCTCTGGGTGCTACAGCTGCAGCGATGGGAGAAGTACCACCAGGTCTAAGAAAACGCCAGATGAGAGCAGCGCTCCGGCTCC